TTTAGAATCATAGCCATTTAACTTACTCATCTTAAGTCGAAAGTAACTCATTAAAAATATAGCCTTCTAATTTGAAAATCAAAATATACATTCGATCAATCATTATTTTCAATTTTGAATTCTTTAATCCTTATAGAATTTCCAGTATCTCTTTGTTTACAGTTTAAGGATCAAAGTTACTTTAGAAAATTTATGTATCTAAGCCAAAGCATCTATTAATAAAATAGTGTAATTCTAGACCCAATTCGGTAGCTCTTAAATAGTTTTAATGACGTATATCAGTCTAATAGGGATTTTTCGAATAAATCTATTGAACAAGTTTGATATAAACACTTATTATATAACTCCTCCTGTATATTTAAATCCAGGAAAGTCAATCAATATTGGTATAATAATAATGCTGTTCTTTTGTGATAGAAATTATAACAGAAATCATTTCAGAAGTATCTTTTTCATTAAGGTTTTAGAGCTAGAAAGTTAGATTCTTTATTTATTTCTTTCCTCATTTGGAATTCAAATCATTAGAGAAAATTAAATACTGCGCTTCTCCTATCTTCTTTTGATCCAGAATTGCTACTTTTGAATTTATTCTAATTATTCATCAAATCAAAAACTTGCTAATTTTATTAATCATCCTATCTTATTCTTTGAATTAATCATTCTATAAAATCATCATCAAATACTAGTGTATTTTTAATTTTGCATTTTAAGAGTAAATGCTGAATAAATATAAAACATTTCTTTTTGAGACAATAAAGAAAAAGAATAATTAATATTAATAAAATATTATCAGATATTTAAGGATTCGATTTCAATCTTTGTAAATTGAGAGAATAGATTACCTCTTTAAAATTGAAGCCATAACAGTTAATAGCTGAAAGGATTATNCATTTTCCAGAATATTTCGCCTCTTAAGTTCATTCATATAACATTCAAACTCTTGGCTTAATATTGATAATTTTTATAGAGTAATCTTTAAGTTATTCTTTATTGAAAGAGGTTAAAATCCAATAATCATGCTTTTAAGAGGAAAACACATACTACTTTAAGCCTCTAGTGTCACTTGTATTTAGTTTGAAATACTTATTATTCTTTCAGCGCTCATTAAGTTTTAGTTCAATGAGCAATGCCAAATCCTATGAGCTGAAAAAATTCTTACGATTAACATAACCTTATATTCTGAAAAATTCTAAATTTCTGATTTTATAATGGGAATTATTTAATAAGTCAAAATTTAGAATATGCAAGGAAGTTTTAAAGACGAAAAACTGGAATACTTTTCCAGATAACTTTCAACTATCGAATTTTATTTCGAAAGTTTAAGAGTAGAGTTAAAAATTAATATGTTAGTAAACATAAATAATTTTCTCCATAACTTGCAAATTCCATTTTTGTGTTCTGATTTAAGTTTTTAAGAAAGTTTCTATAAATTACTCTAAATAAGAGAATTAGGAAAACGTTCGAAAATATGTTCTAATTACTTAGGCTTTAAAAGTAATTCAATAACTATTTCTATAAATTATTTATTTAATTACTAATATAATATTAATATCTATCATTTTTTGTTTTATAAATTTTATTTTAATATTAATTGTAATAGTTAATATATTTAGAATCATAGCCATTTAACTTACTCATCTTAAGTTGAAAGTAACTCATTAAAAATATAGCCTTCTAATTTGAAAATCAAAATATACATTCGATCAATCATTATTTTCAATTTTGAATTCTTTAATCCTTATAGAATTTCCAGTATCTCTTTGTTTACAGTTTAAGGATCAAAGTTACTTTAGAAAATTTATGTATCTAAGCCAAAGCATCTATTAATAAAATAGTGTAATTCTAGACCCAATTCGGTAGCTCTTAAATAGTTTTAATGACGTATATCAGTCTAATAGGGATTTTTCGAATAAATCTATTGAACAAGTTTGATATAAACACTTATTATATAACTCCTCCTGTATATTTAAATCCAGGAAAGTCAATCAATATTGGTATAATAATAATGCTGTTCTTTTGTGATAGAAATTATAACAGAAATCATTTCAGAAGTATCTTTTTCATTAAGGTTTTAGAGCTAGGACGTTAGTTTCTTTATTTATTTCTTTTCTCATTTGGAATTCAAATCATGAGAGAAAATTAAATACTGCGCTTCTCCTATCTTCTTTTGATCCAGAATTGCTACTTTGAATTTATTCTAATTATTCATCAAATCAAAAACTTGCTAACTTTATTAATCATCCTATCTTATACTTTGAATTAATCATTCTATAAAATCATTATCAAATACTATTGTATTTTTAATTTTGCATTTTAAGAGTAAATGCTGAATAAATATAAAACATTTTTTTTGAGACAAAAAGAAAAAGAATAATTAATATTAATAAAATATTATCAGATATTTAAGGATTCGATTTCAATCTTTGTAAATTGAGAGGATAGATTACCTCGTTAAAATTGAAGCCATAACAGTTAAGAGCTGAAAGGATTACTTTATCAAAAAATCCTAACAGAAATATTAAAAGGAAGAGATGGAGGTTAGCGTTTCTTGAAGATCATTGATAATAATAGAAGAGCTCTCTTTAGAAAATCAAAGTAAGATTAATTTATTTTTTTATTAAATCCTATACCAATTATGTCATATTTGAAACAAGAAACGTTTATTAAAATAATTTTTGTTATTTTAGCTAATAAATACATTATTCAAATAAGAAGTTGAAATTCAGCTTTTGACATGGTAAGGTAGATACATAATTTACATTTATTTATTGCTAACTATAAATGTAATAGATTGTTAGTAGATAGCTATTTCTAACCTAGCAATAAGAAAAACTTTATTAATAAAATCATTTTATTTCTTGATGTTATAAAATATCTAGTATAAATAGCATACTACAAACTTTATATTCATCACTAAGATGACATACTGATATAACTTACTTAACTTTTAAGAAAGATTTAGTTTCCAGAGAGGTTGTATTCAAAAATCTATATTAACAATCATGTAATTCTAATCTGCTTATTAACTGATTTTAATAAAAAAAGTATACGGATTTAACAGAGGCGTTTAAATTACCTATCAGAGAGAATTTAAGCTTTTTTAGAAATTAGAATATACACAGAAAAGATAATAATCATATTAGATAAGCTTTAATCATACATATCTTTCTTACTTTAAATTAATATTATTTGTTGAAAAAATACGTTTTTAGGATTATTAATTGTTATTGAGGCTTGAGTAGACTTAGAAACTGAAGAGAATGTTTAGAATAACTATGATGCACGTATTAGAAAACGACTAAAATATTATGAAAAGGTGATTGAGAGAATGATTATTTTGGAAAATTTGAAGTTTTTTCTTTTTCACCCTTTACTTGTTAAAGGGTTAAAAAAGGATATTGATTAATCGTCATTCTATCAAATAAGAAGAGAATGAGAAATTGTAATTTGTAATTTATACTATTAAAGGATTAAAATAAAACAAAAACCTTAAGAAGTGAAATTATGCATTTTTGTTAGATTAAAATCTTCGATACTGATGATAAATACTTTATATAATCAGTAGTTAAAAAGTTACTCATTCTAATTAATACCATTTGAAATTTTTGATTGAATTGGTCAGGGTGGGCCGTGCCGTGTTTCTCATCTTATGTTAATGGTTTTGGAAAACATTGACATAAAATAGATTCATTCTGAGGTTTACACATAGGATTTCCCTGAGTCGTACGTATTAGATGAATTTATTTGGGTGTTAGAAATTGAAATTTCTATATTAATTTAACTTAAATATTGCTTAATACAACAACAAGGATTATCAATATATTCAAGTCTTTTTGATTTGAGGAGATTAGCAATCTTAAAACGTAAAAGAGTAAATATTGAAGATGTACAGTCTCACTTTCACATTTAATTGACTTCGATACTCAAAGATCGTGTAACTATTAAAACATTATAAAAGAATCATTAAGGAATTTAATTAGCTAGTATTATCACTTAAAGCAAATATAGAGAAGAGAGTAATTTCTTTTCTAAAGCGAATCTTCTTTTTTTCTCTTGTAAAGGCATATTAATGATAAGAATACTTATTAAATAGCAGGATTTGAAGGTAGCTTCTTATCCAATAGTATTTGCTAAAAGAAATAAAATACTTTCAAGTACAACAATAATTAAGTAATTTGATAAAGATTATAATTTGAATAAAATAATTTGTTGAATGTAATTTGAGAAAGATCATGAAACAAATAAGATTGTAACTATAGCCTTGATAAGATGATCTTGACATAACATATATAAACTCATAAGAATATTAACATTTTCCTAACTTTATTCACTTTAATTAAAATGCAAGAGAGAATTCCAAAAATTAATAATGACATAAGACAACGTTAATTTATATATTTATTAAAAATACTCATACACACAGTATTTGAGAGATTACTCACTTAAATCTCGCATCCATGGTTGAGTTTGTTATATGCTAATTCATTGAAAATATCATGTGTATGCAGTGTTTCAAATGGAATTCAAGCTTTAATTTAAATTAAAGTAACTTTGAGAGAATTGCCAATATGCTTAATCTGTAAAACTATATTGAAGATAAAGTTATCTGTTTATCAAAAAATAATGCTATTTTTATAAACAATAAGTACACAATTATACTCAAACTCGATTATAGTAAAAAATTTTGTAGTACTTAAAAATTGCTATTCATCAGGTATCACAAGTAATCCATAAACTTTATACACTGATTAATACTAAAACAATTGCAAAATCAATGTTGCAATCTCTAACTTTCCAAGCTATTAAGCTTCAGAATCTTAATTTCAATCTTTTCACAGTATTGAGTAATTTCGATATTATTTTAATTGATCCTGCTAGAAAAACATCAAACTGATGGCTCAAGCTAAGTTGTCAATTTTCCTTCAAGTTGAGCCAAAAAAAATTGTTATGCAAATCTCCTAGGGTTTAGACTTGATGAAGCTGATGAAAATATTAGATTTATGACAAATATCACATATTAGCCTGAAATTACAGTTGAAATTTACCCATGTAATCAATCATAATAATGTAGGGCATACCTCTATTATATAATCAATATATCATAATCATTTTTTATCAATGATCCTTATTTTAAACTAGCAATATTCAAAGTCATTTAATCTTGATTTTTTTATTAGAAAAATTAAATTGATTTCCATATTGATATTAAGGAAGTAAATTACTCTCAAAATCAAATATAGTAGAATAAGTCACAATAGCCACAGAAATTGAATCTATTTAGATCATATTTAATTGGAAATTCATTGATAAGGAAGTTTTAAGGTTAACAATATTTTGTCTTGAAGAATGATTTTCTTCAACCTCTATCAAATATGATATTAAGAAAATTAAAACTCTAAGGCTTTAAGTAAAGTTTTAATTCAACTAAATTTCAGAGCAGTATATTAAGATTACTAAAACTTCTACACTACTATAATTATAGTTACAGTTAATTTTAAATGAAGGTGAACCCTAGTTAAAATAATTAGCCTAATCATATTTTATTTCAAAAAATTTCTTTTAAATAATCTATTTTCTTCATTCCACTTCAGCCCATCATAAAGTCCTTTACCAGTATTTATATATGCCAATTTTTGGAATAATTTTGTATAGCTAATTCAACAGCTAAATCTTCTGGGTTCGTTTTAACTAAGCCTTATTTGTATATATCAAAAGGGGTTATCCAACAAGTTCAAGTGGAATAACAATTAAAGATTAGTTTTATGGACAGCTCCAATTTTTATTTTATAGATTTTGTAAAAAATGAATTTGCTAATAAGTGCAATTATGATTAGAGCATTCTAATAATGTTAAACTATAATGCTTGAATGTAAGTTCTAAAGCCGATTGATTATATGGAAGGCAATAGAGTATCTATGGAATATATTTGTATCATCTTCAACATCGAAGCAATGGTTAGATTTCTTTAATGATTTCAGAAACCAAAGTCCAATTGAACTTAATGAGCAATATTTTGTGTTTATTTGATAACATTTCTAATGCCAAATTTGATTTCTTAGAATTTTAAATCCTATATCCAATACTCTGTGTTTGCTAATTGCATACATAGTCTAAAATATCATCAATAATTTAATTATCAAAGGTGCAATTATATACCCAACGTGATTATTCATTATGAGAAAACTATTTAATCATAGCAAATTCTTCATTTTATTCCATTTTAGATTTTATTAATAGATGAAATTTTATAGTTTTACAGTCAAATCTATGCATAAAAACAAAAGATATTTATTTATTAATATTTCTTTCTTTAAAAAACACTTAATTTATGTTTTAAAATGAAAATCTTAAGATGGCTAAAGTAATTTTTAAATAAAAATCATTAGTTTGTTACAGAATTTAAAAGGTTTTATTGGAGATTTTTATTGTTGCAGTGCATCTTGAGTTATTTAGAAAATCAGTCAATGTTACATTTTAACATTTTGCTCGCTATAATGTAGGGATTATCATTAATAGTAAAAAATAAAAATGAGGGTAAAATTTATGAATAGATATCAATCCATTAATTGAAGATTATATCGAATACTTCATACACAAATGATCCAACCTATCTCTATATTAAATTTCACTTTAATGCAGCATTCTTAACTTAATTAAGATAGGAGAGTTTAGTTTTCCCCTATTGAACTATGATAACCTCAATGTGGCAAAAAAATGACTTACAGATTTATTTTGGAGACCATCGTTCTCAGGTTCTTTACTAGAATATTATATAAGCTGTTAAGAATCCATGAACCATATTCTCACGCTTAATTGACTAGATTGCCTATAGTTCCTTACTACTAATATCATGCTTTATTAATTAATCTTGAAAATATTTGAAGCTGTTGATTGCTAATGCATATTAGTTTAGATGGATATCATAACACTCCAATCAATTCAAAATCTATGGTTATTGGAGCTCCTTGCTGTTCCTTCTAATTATTTGACTCTGATCCTACTGAATATACACCATTCNAGTATCAATAATCGAATTGGATAATTAGTTATTTGAAAGAATATATATTTCATTTTAGCTATAATTATAGCTACAGTTAATTTTAAATCAAGGTGAACCCTAGTTAAAATATTTAGCCTAATCATATTTTTATTTCAAAAAATTTCTTTAAATAATCTATTTTCTTCATTCCACTTCAGCCCATCATAAAGTCCTTTACCAGTATTTATATATGCCAATTTTTGGAATAATTTTGTATAGCTAATTCAACAGCTAAATCTTCTGGGTTCGTTTTAACTAAGCCTTATTTGTATATATCAAAAGGGGTTATCCAACAAGTTCAAGTGGAATAACAATTAAAGATTAGTTTTATGGACAGCTCCAATTTTTATTTTATAGATTTTGTAAAAAATGAATTTGCTAATAAGTGCAATTATGATTAGAGCATTCTAATAATGTTAAACTATAATGCTTGAATGTAAGTTCTAAAGCCGATTGATTATATGGAAGGCAATAGAGTATCTATGGAATATATTTGTATCATCTTCAACATCGAAGCAATGGTTAGATTTCTTTAATGATTTCAGAAACCAAAGTCCAATTGAACTTAATGAGCAATATTTTGTGTTTATTTGATAACATTTCTAATGCCAAATTTGATTTCTTAGAATTTTAAATCCTATATCCAATACTCTGTGTTTGCTAATTGCATACATAGTCTAAAATATCATCAATAATTTAATTATCAAAGGTGCAATTATATACCCAACGTGATTATTCATTATGAGAAAACTATTTAATCATAGCAAATTCTTCATTTTATTCCATTTTAGATTTTATTAATAGATGAAATTTTATAGTTTTACAGTCAAATCTATGCATAAAAACAAAAGATATTTATTTATTAATATTTCTTTCTTTAAAAAACACTTAATTTATGTTTTAAAATGAAAATCTTAAGATGGCTAAAGTAATTTTTAAATAAAAATCATTAGTTTGTTACAGAATTTAAAAGGTTTTATTGGAGATTTTTATTGTTGCAGTGCATCTTGAGTTATTTAGAAAATCAGTCAATGTTACATTTTAACATTTTGCTCGCTATAATGTAGGGATTATCATTAATAGTAAAAAATAAAAATGAGGGTAAAATTTATGAATAGATATCAATCCATTAATTGAAGATTATATCGAATACTTCATACACAAATGATCCAACCTATCTCTATATTAAATTTCACTTTAATGCAGCATTCTTAACTTAATTAAGATAGGAGAGTTTAGTTTTCCCCTATTGAACTATGATAACCTCAATGTGGCAAACAAATGACTGACAGATTAATTTTGGAGACCATCATTCTCAGGTTCTTTACTAGAATATTATATAAGCTGTTAAGAATCCATGAACCATATTCTCACGCTTAATTGACTAGATTGCCTATAGTTCCTTACTACTAATATCATGCTATATTAATTAATCTTGAAAATATTTGAAGCTGTTGATTGCTAATGCATATTAGTTTAGATGGATATCATAACACTCCAATCAATTCAAAATCTATGGTTATTGGAGCTCCTTGCTGTTCCTTCTAATTATTTGACTCTGATCCTACTGAATATACACCATTCCTCAGAGTTACTACTTTCTAACTGAATTACAAATGTGCTGATGTTATAAGTCTCAATCTTATATACAAGACTGAATTAATCTTTATTTTAGTTGGAAAATTCATTTTATTGCAAACTAACACTAAATGCATTCTTAAATGACCTACATTTATCTCAATGCAAACAATTAGTATACATCATCATTTGCTGCCTGCGATTATTCTTCATGTACAACAGCCGCTGTTTTTTATATGAATGACTAAATAAAAGTAACTCATTTTAATCTTTTAGGTTTGAGATACTTAAGCAATATCAATGCACTCATACTTATCAACAGTATTGTTTATTGCAACTATAGTTAGCTCGCATAATCTATTTTTCATAAGCTGCTTTGTTGACAATTATTAATGGTATCAAATAGGAGTTCAAATTTAACAAGTTACTTTGATACGCTGACATCCTTGTTCACATTATTCTATTAATGATAACTCAAATTATAGGTGCCACTTTCCTGTTATTTTGTAAATCATATAAGCCAAGAAAGTGGGCATCTGTTTCAACATTGAGTGATAGTAAGCTACAAGCCGGTTCTTGCACACATCCAAAATTTGTGATTTGCGATTCAATTTGCAGCCAAAAAATTCATACTTTATATATCTGCATGCAGAATGATCTACTAGTTTGAAATGCTTAGTTAACAAACTATTGAACCCGTTTTATTGCAGTTATTGCAATCATTTTTGTAGGTCTGTAGGCAAAACTCCACATTGAGTAAATTATGAGCTGACATATACGGAAATCTATTCATCACCCTGTGTTCTAACCCGTAAGTTATACAAGACATGATATGTTTTTTTGACTTTCTAGTTTCAACAACATTAAAACAAATATTCTGACAGTATTTGTTAAACGTCTTACTTTTTCAGAGTATAATTAATCATCTCATCAATACACATAGAACACTCTAATCCTTACTTAATATGCATATCTTCTGCATCTAATATGCTCAAAATAGTAGGAATGAATCATATTTGTGATTCTATTATCAACTTCTTGATGATGACAATGTAGCTGTATCTTGTGTACAAGAGACACTACAAACTTATGTACTCATATTACCAATGCTAACTATTCTAATAAATGTGAAAATATCTTCATTGATAAATGTCCTTCTGTTTTGGTTGATTGTATTTACATGGGGCATCACCTGTTTATTGAATTTTATATTGGGACAATATTCTAACAAGATGCTTCAAAGGATATCTCATTAAAATAGTGCTCGTATAGAATGAATTTATTTAGGAATGTCCTCACTATGCAAACAAATTCGAACNTCTTTACTAGAATATTATATAAGCTGTTAAGAATCCATGAACCATATTCTCACGCTTAATTGACTAGATTGCCTATAGTTCCTTACTACTAATATCATGCTTTATTAATTAATCTTGAAAATATTTGAAGCTGTTGATTGCTAATGCATATTAGTTTAGATGGATATCATAACACTCCAATCAATTCAAAATCTATGGTTATTGGAGCTCCTTGCTGTTCCTTCTAATTATTTGACTCTGATCCTACTGAATATACACCATTCCTCAGAGTTACTACTTTCTAACTGAATTACAAATGTGCTGATGTTATAAGTCTCAATCTTATATACAAGACT